TACATGATTATGTTATCGGGAAAGTTTACTGATGCAAAAAACATACTGGTGAACATGTTATACTGATACAAGAAAACATACTGGTGAACATGTTATACTGATACAAGAAAACATACTGGTGAACATGTTATACTGATACTAGAGAACATTACTGGTGAACATGTTATACTGATGCAAGAAAACATACTGGTGAACATGTTAATCGAGGTAATGATATTAAAAAATTAAACTATACTTGTGCCGTTTCAACTCCCCATGATTATTTGTGAACAACATATTTGAGTCAAGGAAACACTGCACAAAGAAAACAGTAAACAGAAAACAGTAAAAACAACATAAATTTGTTTATATTTGTTCAATGTCAAAAGTTGTTTATATTGTTTACTTGTCACATAATTTCATTATTTTGTGAACAAAAGAAAACAAAAATGAGATAATTTTCAAAATTCTGAGTTATTCTGTATCTAATAAGCTTATATTAAGATTTCTTGACTTTTCCAAATGAAACCAAATCTATAATAATTATTTTACAGAAGTAGCTCAGTTGTTTTTTCTCTAAAATGTTGTCTAGATTACAATGAATACGCTGTCTATAAGAAGCTAACACACCAATATTTTATAACATGGTGATTAATAAATAATGATATCTTTCCACAATCTCCTAGTGCAATTTGATCATTTACAATGTAAATAAAACGACAATATTGTATTTGAACTTGTTCAAAACGTCCCGAGAATTCACTTCTGTAAAGATATAAGCACCGAAGGTAAAAAGGGCTTTACCACGATTGTTATTAAATCCTATAAAAGCTGCAGTTTTATCCTTGATTTAAATAATTTCAAATGTAAGAGGTTCCCAAAGTGTATGGCTTGAATAAATTTCCCAGCCTGCGCAGCGGTATATAGGAAGGGAGATAATTCTTTCTATATACTTGAACATGACCGTACTTCTTACGTCCCCTTCTCTCGTGTATTTTCTATTAGATTTAAAATATGTGATAGGCACGGAGTTTAGAAATCATAGAATACATTGTATCCAATCACATTTCTTTTTGTACATAACTAGTTAAGTACACGTCCAAATAAATATACACACAGGACCCTGTAAAGAAATATAGTTCTACATCATCAAATTCCCGAGCCCATAGATCCAACCACGTATATATTAAATTAGAAAATACTGTTTACATGTGCATGTGTGCTGAAATTCTTGTTTTGTGTTAAATGGCACACAAAAATCCCATGTTTTAAAATAATTTTGTATTCCTGACTCTGAGAAAACCCCAGTATTCAAATTCTAATTAAGTAATTTACAAAGGATAGTTAAGAATTGAAAATTCAAATTGAATTGAAAGTTGAAGTATTTGTTTTGTAGTTCTGCTCCGATACCAGATCTTCCTTTGTACTTTTCCCTCAAATTCATAGGGGTTCTCTCTTCAGTATTTACTTTTAAGTCCCAGACTCCCTTTAAATAATAATTAATAAAAAAAATTAATCCTAGAAAATTCTCGTATCAATCGAGTATCATTATTTTGCTGAATTTTATCATTTTCCGAAAGGCGTAGTTGATCACGTTTTTTTATATTTATTTTTGGTACAAACACTTTCAATGTAACAAATGCTCGGTACTGCAGCGTTATTTAGCAGGGGTTTAAGTGTGTTTTTTAGTTGTTTTTTTTATATAATAGTTGTTCCACATTCTCGATCCTATTTGACATTACCTCGCGCGCAAAAAAAAAAAAACACATAAAAAAAAAAAAAAAAACAACAAAAAAACTTACACACATATCTGTTAAATTATTTTTATACATATTGGTTGCATGCTCTCCTTTTCTGCACAAGACATTACATGTAATGCTGCATTACAGATTTGTTTAACAAATTATTTGAACGATTCAATTGTTGTATTATCGTCGGATAGCCATTACGAAGATGATTAAATGTATGTTAATTGAATTCAAAAATAAAAATGCCGCTAAATAACGTAAATATGAAATATAGAATTTCCATCTGCGACTAAATCTACTTTATTTCCTAAATATTTATTTCCCTTGTTTTCGGCAATAAATAGGATCTTACAAAAAGGGCTAATCTAAATAAAACTAAATTAACAGTTGATATTCTAAAGGTGAAATCCGGAGCATAGTGAATCAATTTCGGCGAATATAGGTAGAGGACATTAACCAACACCAAGAAAAAAGCAGTGACAAATACCAGGAAAGTATGAAATACAGCATAGGCAAATACAGGAAAACAGCAGTGACAAATACCAGAGAAAAATACCGGAAAGGGATAGCATTGTCAAAGACCAAACGTAAACATAGGAAATGACAGGAAGGCAACAATGTTCCCAACATTTAAACAATATATCGACAAACGGCCAATCGTTGAAACCAAAATTTAGAATTTCATTTACAAAGTGATAATAACTAACACATAAATGATTGGATTCAGTATTTTATTTACTTATAATATAACAAATAGGTAATATAGTAACGTGTCTGTTTCCACATACATATTTAGAAAGATATTGACGTCATATCAAAGAGGTATATTAGCCACATTGTTGCTTTTGGAAAAGCTTATAGAAATTCAGTTGACTATTTTTTTGGCAAATACTCCTAATACGTTTTAAAATTTTTATATGACTTTATAATATACTTTGAAAAACTTGTAATCGTTAAGTTAAAAACCGAAACAAGGGCTCCCTGTAAAAACTGCGAAACATTTAGCGAGTCAAAGTGTTTAAATGATTTTTGTTTTTGTCCTGGCATTTTCCCCCAAATGTGATGTTGTTTCAGATATTTTCTTTTCCTTTTTGATTTATTAAAAAGGGCCCAAATTTAGAATCATACATGGGTTCTGTATTTGTAAAACAACAGACGACAAATTCAAAATTCGAGCAGCTAGTACTATGCGGATTTTTTTCTTTTTTTGTTTTTTTTAAAGTACGGTTACTTGGCTCGGGGGGGAAGACAAAAAATTCAATGCCCGGTAAATAGAAAATTGCATTTCTTCTAGTTGAGGTTTTAGTTCGGTTTTTTGGCCCGCCTTGATTATGACCTCCATGTTTGCAACACGATGGCTATATGGGATTTTGGATGCGTTTTTTATGGATTTTTGATGACATGGTTGGGTGTAACAGCAACTTCGCTCTTCACATGTAAGTATTCACAAATACTTTTTTATTACTATTTTACTAAATAAGTAAAAATATGACAATTTTGGCTGTTTGGGTTATTGCCATCTGGGTCATAGTAAACTTTGAAGTATATCCTTAATATCATATATTCTCGAAAACTGCTTTATGGTTCCTGAATACACCTTTTGGTATCTGGAAATACTATTTGGTACCCGGTATACTTAAGATCAGTTTTATCAAATGTGCAGAGGAACCTGATAGTCTGGAACAAATACAAATAATTCATTTAAAAAATCTAGCTATATATTCTGCTATGATAAAAATCTAGCTATATAATCTGCTATGATAAAAATCTAGCTATATAATCTGCTATGATAAAAATCTAGCTATATAATCTGCTATATGATAAAAATCTAGCTATATAATCTGCTATGATAAGAATCTAGCTATATAATCTGCTATGATAAAAATTCTAGCTATATAATCTGCTATGATAAAAATTCTAGCTATATAATCTGCTAAGATAAAAATTCTAGCTATATATTCTGCTATGATAAAAATCTAGCTATATAATCTGCTGTGATAAAAATCTAGCTATATAATCTGCTATGATAAAAATCTAGCTATATAATCTGCTATGATAAACATTCTAGCTATATCATCTGCTATGATAAAAAAATTAATCAGGCTTTAAAATCGAATAAAAACAACAACAACAACGACAAAATTATAAATCATTATAAGGGGCGGGTTTGTAATCATAGGTACGGAATTCCATATAGTCCTTCATGTAGTATACCCCTAATGCATTACTTCCGCTTTGAAGAGTATTCAAATAGGCTAAAATTACTGTCAACTGCTTTGAAACTGGAGGGCGTATTTTCAACAACAAAAGGGGCAACTTTTTTTCTTCTTTTAAACATTATTTATGTTAACACGTATACATATGGCATCATTAGAATATTTCAGGTGTACTTTATATTGTTGCATTTTAGGCAAACAGACAATAGATTGTCGTCTTCCTAAAACTTGTCACTTTACAATAATAGTTCAATATTTTGATTGCAGTTTGATTAAGTTTTTAATGTTAAAAGGGAGTTGTGTTTCTTTTCTTGTTTGTTTTGTTAAAACTACTTGTCAGTCATTTGCATCGAAATTATATGACAGAACAAAATTAATAAAATAATGTTATTTCTGAGGTATATTATTTTCTCTGTTTTTGATTATGCATATTAACCCATTACTTCATATACACGCCTTTTAACGCCTTTTTCACCCCCCCCTTTTTTTTGTTGTCTCAAATGGTGAAAAAATGCATTATTTAGGCCCTTAACACTTGTTTTTGTTTGAGAAATGTTGTTAAAAAAAGTGACCACTTTTTCGGCGCGGCCCCCAACCAAAAGATACATCGGGGGTTTGCCAGAAGAGGGATGTGCCCCCTTCTGTTTGGGGGGGGGGGGGGTTGAAGGGGGGCGGAGTCCCCCTCATGGCCATGAAAATTTTGGACTTGTGAGAGGCTATAAATGACGCCAGATGATCATAAGGTAACGTGTAACCAACGCTGAAAAGCATTTGACTCTATCTCAATCCATTGAGAAGTTGCAGCACTTTGAAATCAATTATAATGGAAAAAATCAACGCAAAATAGTGATTTTTGGCAATTTTGAGATGTCCCCTCGTTGCCATGGTAACAAAAAATTTAAGCCTGAGCATGTTGTTGCAAGGGCAATGGTCCAGTTAACATTTGTGCCAAGTTTGATTAGTGTTGAAGCAGTTTTTATAGTATTATAGCAATTTGAACTTGTAACGGGAGACTTTTCAATGAAAACAGACATTTTTCACAAAATGCTCATGAAGTAATGGGTTAACAACAACAACAACAACAGAACAATACACTGTAGACTTATAACTTTCAAAATGATGCAAAATTGACATTTCAATTTTTAGAAAATCCATTCAGTATTAAATATGCTCATTATTCTAAATGTTTTTGCGCCCTTCATAAAATTGCCCGTAAATTAAACTCTGTTTGGATAAAATTCTTAGAATTAAATTGGCAGCTTATATAATAATAATCCAAAATATTTATTTCATGAGACATTCAATTGGGTCATCAATATTGTTTACTGCTTATATAGGAGACATTCATAAAGCACGATAAAACCATGTGGTCTGTGAATGAAATATAACAATATCATATATCCTGTAGTGACATTTATCGTCCACCTAACTCTACTTGGCCTTTCTCACGCGTGTAAATGTAGTAATTAACGTGTATAAATGTAGTAATTTACGTGTATAAATGTAGTAATTTACGTGTATAAATGTAGTAATTTACGCAATGGACGGAATTTTGGTTATTTTTTTTTTAAATTGTGTATACGAGACATTTTCTCTACACCCTATTACGTGAATTATAGTCTTCAATAAAGTAACGTAACGATTAAAAGTTATAACTTTTACTACATTTACAATTTAGCTTTCAGAGTTTACCCTGGTCATTTGCATGTAAATAAGTTTTTAACACTTTTGCTTATTATACCATTAATATAAATAGGCTACCGGTACGAATACTGAGTAGTGCGATTCATAATCAATATTTCTATCACAAACATTACATTTTCTGATATATAACCATTTAATAACAGCAATATCTTTTAATACAGCATTTTCTCTATTTCAGGTGTCGCAATTGAGAGATATGTTGTTATGTGTAAGCCAAATTTAAATCGTTTCCTCAATATCCGCACTGCTAATGTCATGGCCGTATTTTGCTACTTACACGGGCTCGTGTGGGGTTCTTTTCCACTTGCCAGTGAACAGGGCTATGTTTATGAACCATCAGGAATCTCTTGTACCCCGGACTGGTCGCCTAGTAACATCGGGTATATGCTTGGATTGTCTAACGTCTGTTTCACAATACCAGTGCTAATATCCACATTTTGCTACGCGTCCATATTTCTTACGGTAAAAATATCTTTATATTTCTTATTTATATATATTTAGATCTGCCGATTGCTTGTTTTGGAGTTTTTCTCCGTTTAATTGCATAAAAAAACAATACATCAAATGGGATGAAATTTTCATTTAATAATAATTATATGACTGACATTAAAAAATTGCATAACAATGCAAAATATTATAACAGAAAATTAACAACAAAGTTACATATTTACAGTGTAATTTCTATTAAAAGTACTAAATGTCTGCAAAGTACATATTGTATGTTTTTCCCTTTAAACTATTATGTATGTATGAAATAGATAAAAATGTTGGTTAACCATTGAAAACGCCACGTGCGTACACATATTTACTAGTAGATACAAATATTTGCAAAAAGCGCCATAAATATGCCCAGCTTTATTTGTCATCCAATGGAAACGCTGTATTTATTAAAACTTATGTGTGTTAATTTTCATAGAAAAAAAAATCGATACTATATATAGAATTCCGTTCAAAATCACCTTCCACTTCTCATAGTACTTTATATAACCGTATAGTGATGTAATAAAGTGAATAATAATGAGTCCAAATAAAGCTTGACACTTAGTATGTAAATATTTGTCCGTAGCTGTTCTACAAAAATTAGATACAGTCTCCGGTCGCAATCGCCCTCGTCTCTGTAGAGCAGCACGGATGAACGCTAACCTATACATATAACTGGTTTATGTCGCATTTCGTTCGAAAGTAAAATGAATTCAAAAATTTATTCTTTTGCAATTAGGCTTGACGAATTGAATTATTGTCAGCATTCAAAATTGAAACATATGTCATCATGAACTATAGATATATGCGTCATTGGTATGATGTAAAGCTGTCAGCATATTTTGCTTGATGTCATTATTAACATATTAATATATTAAATTATTCACAGCTTAGACAAAAAAGGCGGGAAAGAGTAACATTACATCACGATGCTTCAGTAGAAAAAAACGTGGCTGTCACAATGTTGATTACGTTATGTAAGTGTTATTTCATCTATTATTGTATATTTCACACTTCGAATTTCTCCTACACATATAAACCAAAGCACGTGCTAAACCTGATGCTACAGAATAATAGATCTATAACGTCATTTCGTTATATTAACAGTGTTGATTACTAAAGTGTAACACGCACGGTATAAATGCTCACCCAAGAAATTTACAAAATAAAACGTTGCAACGGTTTAACATTACAGCAGGGTAAACATTGGAAATACTTTACTTAGATGGTTTTTTTTTCGGTCGGATAAGACATGTATTAATCACCTACTTGCATATAAATGTTCGAGTCTGTGGTGAAATTTTATCTTTTGATAGAATTTTATCTAAATAACACCCTAACTACAATGTGTCTAATAGTGATGGCTAAGACATATTTTTACCAGATGAATTTGATGTGATATGCTCCCACATAATTAGTATTAGCCGAAGTAAATTTTAAGTGTTGCTTTTGTCATAAAATTCATAAAGTTTTAATATGGCTTACTAAACCTGCTTCTGAATACGAACTGGACCGTTTATTCACAATTAGGACTTTTGAAATAACGCAAATGATCTCTAAATAATTATATTGTATACATTACCGAAGGCCTCATTGCATTGTTATGAACAGGCTTCGGTCTGTTCGATGATATCAGGCTAAAAAACTATAATTATTTCTACTACATGTTCTATATGTAACCTGTGTATCGTTTTCTGTTTATCACTGGTATATTGTATCCTCCGTGTTATGTTGTATTTGGTTGGTATTCGCCTAACTGTTGTATCGTCGTCGTTTGTTTGCCTAACTGTGGTAATGTTTTGTATAGTCTGTTTCGTATGAGAGGTCACTGTAAGTTGAAAGGTTGTATGAATGTGTTCACTAATATTTCACGTGCATGACCCTAAAATCCCCGCGAAACATTTTCTTGCTTAAGTAAAATATTTCCCTTCGCCAGTTCCGCATTATACGAGTAACTGATAACTTACTTTACAGTATAGTTGTTGATAGTAGTAGTTACTTATTATAGTAAACTTGAACATCATTTATGGAAAGTTCTTGTATGCTGATCCTGGCTCGTTTTTTGTATGTCCGACAATAAAATGATGAAATAGAAGCAAGTCTTCAATCATTTATCCCCGGTTACATATATACATGTATTTGTAACTATACAGGGAAATAATATATTTCAATTATAATATGACAATAAAGACATTATATGTTAGTGTAAGTTTTACTGAAATTTTCGCAGTCATCTGGTATAATACGACCCCCGCAGTTATACACTACTTAATTTTAGCTGTCCATTCCTGTTCAAGGCGGTTGAAAGCAGTCTTCATCGCGAGAAATATATCATTTAAAGGTCAATTGACATATAGATAAAGAATGAACACATTAACATGATTGATGTAAAGTAAAGTATTCCAAAATCAACATTAAAACTCCCACGAAAATAGCCTAATAATATCATCGCTTGACAAAAGTGATAAATTCTATTTTTGTCACATTAAAATAATGTTGCGCATTAATGGTATACGATTAAAAAAATGACAAATACTAATTGTTGTTTTGTTTTGGCAGAGCCTCGCTTTGACTATTTGGGGGTTTTGACACTTAATAGCCTAATTTCATTTATGTACACTTTAGTTATGTAGATTTTTCGAATAAATCAGAGCAATTGCAAAACAATTTCAACCAATGTAATTTATTTTATTTTCTCGTTTTATGAACTATTAACGTTGCACAAGTTTTTTATGACTATCTTTTTGTACAATTTATTTTTAATTATATACCACTTAAAATATTTTTCTATACTTCCGTATATGCTATGGTTCCATTATCAATGTAAAACAGATATAATCAAATTATCATTATCGCACGTATTATGAATGGTGATAATTAAAACTGTTGCATTTATTATGAAGGGCCGAATATATACCCCAATGACTATGTTAAGGAACATTACACAGCTCAATTAATACTTCTATTCTCAACATGAATAATCTCCTATTTGTTTGTTATTAGTTCTCTGTAAATGACTCGGTTTAATAATTGGTAGCAAGTGGTATGGTCACTTTTTACTAATTAAACACTCCATTGAGCTCACCACTTACATCGGTCAAGTTTGGTCAAAATGGACACATAACATGCCTGTACAATCAAGGGCTTATCTTAGAAGAATGTAACAACCTAAAAGTAATAACAATTAATTGAAATAATTGTTCAAGAGATGGTTAGACTATAGCTCTTTGAATTATGTAAGATTTATACAACATCAAGTCATATGTTACTACTGCACGTTGTAACGTCGCTTTTCATTGGATAATTGTCACGTTTACATAGTTTTATATACTCGACTGTTGTCGATTCATAAAGAAATCTTACTTTTTTCCTCTTAAAAATGATGTTTGTTGTATTATAAATTCGTTATAAAGATTGTTGATAGGTTATATGACCCTATATAAACGACTGTTTGCTATATAACCGCGCCGAGCGGCTCGGGTTATATTTACAAATAGCCGTTTATATAGGGCCATATAACCTGTCAACAATCTTTATAACTAATAATATACACGTATCATTGACGGTTCTAACGCAACATCAAGTCATATATTCGCGTTCTTGTTCGCCTTTACTAGGGAACACACGGTGAATACCAGTATACTGAAACATGGCGTATATTATACATGTGTGCACAGTTTCAGCACATTTGTACAATTCCTTGCTTGATTTTGAACTTTTTGACAGCTAACATGGCTGCATATTCATGTTTAATTCTATAAATACAACCATACACTCGTTAATACTTAGTTATTATATCAGTTAAAGGTATATAGTGGTTATATTAAATAGTGGCAATTTGCACTTAAACGGGCTCTGTCATGTATATGTATTTAAGTTTATATTATCAAATTATTATAAGGTCTTGTCAGCATGTTTCTTATGAGTTGCTTTTGATTCCCCAGAAAATACAAAACCGCGAAAATCCTCCATATAGCGTAACTTCAAACCCAAGAAATATTCCGTTTAAAAGTAATATATATTACCAAATCAGATTTGAGCATCTTTCTAAGAAATGAATAAACATCTGTAACAAATTTTTAAAACCTGTCGGTTAATGCTCCTGCTTTACAAACTTGTCACATTTTATGAATGGTATATATAATTTTCAAGGAAACCCGATATTGGTACTATATGAATAACACATGGCTGTCGGGGTGATAGACGATATTGTCAACCGAGAACTGCTATATTACCCCGAGACGTAGGCGAGAGGTAACCAGTCCAAGGGTTGGCAATGTCCTCTTTCACCCCTACAGTCATGTGTTATTTATTTTATTATACCGAAAGAGTATGAAAAAGAGTTATGCAAGAGTTATGTGCCCCAGGGTGATATAAGAAATAGTACCCGGGGAATTTATCCTAAGAAAACATATAATAGGCCTATGAAAGTTTTACATTGAAGGATTGTGGTATAATAACTCAAAATACATTCTTCTAATTCTCTGACATCTTTTAAAAGTAAATTTAAAAAACAAAACATATCTTGCAGATCAAATCAATATATTCATAACTCATTATGTCAATATGTTATATTACTTATATATGCATGTATAATTGTTAAATAATTTGTAAATGAAAATTATTTGAATAATATTTAATATCTGAAAGGATCGTTTTTCAAAATAATCAAAGTACATGTATGTTTGTTATAGGACAAATGGAATAGTTGTTATTGTTTCATGATGTTTTGTGTTTATGTTTCTATATACATGTATTGGTAAGAAGGCCACAATTAAAAAAAGGATATGTTATTTGTTTTCTACGATGGTTTATCTTAATATGTACCTTTTTTAAATAAAGATATTATCATCATCATAATTATTTTTTTTACTTCATCATAAAATGCTGATAAATTCACCGATCCCCTATTCTTATTTTCTTTCAGTTGCATTTTTATTTACCTGGACCCCTTACGCCGTTATTGGTATGATCAAAGTGTTTGGATTTGAATCCAGTATCTATATAGCAAGGGAGATCACTCTTATACCACTTATCACAGCCAAGACTGCTGGATTTTGGAATCCTTTTGTCTTCAGCTTCCGCAACCAAGCAGTGCGTAAAGCGTTGTTGGAAAAAATAAAAGCCATCAAAAATCGTTTAAATTTTAGGATTGTTTGGCGACAACAAAGAAATAGAGTTACACCAGGAGTAGAAAAAAGTAGATCCGAAAGGCTAGTCAGTTCGCACAGCAATCGCGTGAGTATCTTCCAAGTAAGTTCTTCTTCCAAAGCAGACGGTAAATTGGTACCACGAGAACCAACCGCTTCGATACATACGATTCGTTCAACGGTCCACTTTTGTAACGATTATGTGACGTCACCAGTTTAATGTTGGTCGCTACGTTGTACATTTGATAAATAAAATCTTCTCAATTATGTGAATCATTTGTGAAAGCGTGACGTGTGACATTTAGATCTAATACAACTAAAAAATTATGGAAATAACTATAACATTAAGTCTTGACTTTGAATCCACGAGACAAGATTTGAACACAAAGAAGAGACAAAAGAATGCTATCATCATTATAAACATAGTTTCATAAAGTGTCAATGTTTATTTCATGACTAATAAATGTATTGATACAGTACTGGCATGCGAGCAGTTCCCGTACAGAAGCAGTACCCGTATTTTTCATTTAAACACTTGATTTTTACTTACAGTCTTCAAAAATTGATATAAAATCAATCAGATGTATAAACGAGACAAAATACAAGTGTCAGTACGGCAGTACGTATACATAAAAGGTTTCATTTTAAATCACTTTCACCTGTGCGTTGACAAAACGTGTCCTTGTTTACTTTGAGGGATTCCGTCCTTGCACGCATGCGCAAAAATACTTACAATTGAGTTGTGATAAAGGGGTTTCCACTACTACCACCTGTGTACAGATAACCTGGCAATGCGATTAAAACTTGTTTAATTATCAGAAATTTGACTTACATTACTATATTAAATAATTTTATGGCTTTAATGTGTAAATATCATGCTAACAAGGACGTCGTTGCATGTGAATGCGTCGGGGGTAACAGCACCGGGTAATAGATACCAGCGTTTAGTCTACACTAGATATTTCCTGAACTACATCTATTTACCTCTGGGGAAATGGCCTGTTCAACAATTATAAATGAAAAATAGGTCTGATATAACAACATTGTATAATTATTAAGGGTTATATTTTATGTACGGGAACTACTTCTCTTCATACAAAATAATGGATAATTTCGGTACCCCATATGAGGCCTCATAACTAAGGGTTATTCTATGTTTAGAATTCCATGATTTGTGTGACAATCCGAATATTGTTGAACAACGTTCAATTTTTTGGAGTGAGCGTATTAAAGAACAATATTAAGTTAGATCTACTAGGATTTTTGTACTCGTATGCCAGTACAGAAACGAAATTATGACGTCAGAAACGACGTTGTGACGTCAGTAGTTTTACTGTCAATGCGTGAGACTTTTTTGTAAAAGGATGGAGCACCACACTAAACATCGTATTCCGATACATACCCGACAATGTTATCCTTTCGATTGATAAAATGCTAAAGTATTCCTTTTTCAATTTAAAAGGTCTTATTCATCTTTCCACATCGATTTATGTATAATAATGAATGAAAAATTCAAGAATCATCGAAAAAAAAAAGATAGTTGTCAATTTATTGATCATGATTTATGCGTCTAAAGGTACTCCTCCAGTCGTCCATTGAGTAAGGTAGTGAAATTTCAATCGGAACCTCCTCGGTTATTATCTTTAATAACCTCGGAAACAAAATGGTTGTGAAAGTAGTTCTACCACATGGTTTCATATGTAAACATAAAGAGGGCGTGTAATCTACGATAATGCAAAATTTGACATCAAAAAGAAAATTAAGTCTGTTCTGGTACAATTATGATTGAAAAAATGTCTGACAACCAATTTTAATATAAATATGCCCACTGATGTACAATTTGAAACAAATGCGACTAAATTTCAGAATGTTGGCATATTGTACTTTTGGTTTTTACAACCATGATAAATATACAAATAATGTATTGTTTACTTTTGTATCTATTAATTCACTTATTTTAGGTGGGCATTTATTTGATATATTGAAAATAAACTTTTCAACAACTCTCTGCATTAAATTATTATTTATTAACGTGTCTAGTTTCTTAGCGTAGGTTAGACCGAAATGCCGTATCCGTTCTTTATGATAGAGATCTATCCGAAGACTGACGGAAAGATCCGAACAAATGCGATTGAGTTAAATATGAGTGAGATTGGAGCAGCACACTAAATACCGTATTCGGTATATACTGGACATGGAGCTCTATAATCTTGCCTTTTCAACCAACGGAAGGAACTTTAAAAGGTTTAATTCATCTTTTCACACCAATTTTTGAATGAATGAAACATGTAAGAATCGGCGAAAACAATTGATTTCTTCAAACGTCTAGAGGTACTACTCCAATTATGTACATTGTATTGAGTTAAATCCGGAAATTTTTATGGCTCACATACTTTTATATGATTTTCAATATAAGATGTATAATTTACAATGATTCAAGTCATCATAAAACATATTCTTGACACAAACACAAAAAATAATAAAAGTTTATCATCTTTTTGGGAAATATTGATGATGTAAATTATTTTTTGTATCAGCTATATAAAACAACATCAATAAATTGTTAAAGATAAGTTTTACTTTTTTTTCTTTTTATTCTTATTTTAGAAATGGTAAGGAACAACTCCAGTTTTGAAAAAAGCAAATAAAAGTATATTTGAACAAAACATTGAGATTAATTGAAACAAATATTGGTCATTTTTGATAAAACAGAAAGAGAGTATATCACAATTTTCACCTTTCATGAGGTTGTAATTATATTTCATGCTATAATAATCTAGAGACAAAATCTACGATGGCCGCCACATATTAAAATTTTCAGAATATATGGGTATTTCAGCTGTAGTCATAACTAGAACAGTAGGAAAAACCACCGATTCATTATATGACACAATAATTTATATTCAAGCCTAGGATCCAGGTTGTGCTAATTCAAGATGGCTGCCAAAATCCAAGACGACCGCCATTTTAAATATTCAGAATGTAATGTAGTAGTATTTCAGCTGTTGTCGTCATGACAGACCTGTATGAAATAGTACCGATTTAAAAAAATTGTATAACATTTTTTTTTATATTCAAGCCTAAGCAAATCAAAATGGCTGCCAAAATCAAGATGGCTGTCATTCAAAGAATTTCAGATAATTTAAGTTTTTCAGCTGTTATCATTTGCAGATTAGTATAAAATAACATAAAATACATTATATTACATGCTTGTTTAACATATCAGCATAAAAAGCATTTCAGTCATATTGTTCGGTAGAGAACAATCTCATGTTGCTGAATAGTCGTTTAAACGTTTTCTGTCATAACGGCCTATTTATTCAGAAGAAGTGGGTCGCTAGGTCACTGTAAGAAAATGAGCGTGCTTATTAGATATATCAGATATTTTAACGTAATATAATCTTAGAATCAATGTCGAACCCTGCAGAACACTCTGTAATACTTTAACTTGCATCTTGAAAAGACATTATGTCACTTTCAATTTTCTGAGGATTTTCTGAGGATTAGTAAAACAAAGTGCTTAATATTGCCAAGGTTAGGACTAATCTACTACTGGACGATATTGTATAGTCTACAGTGAAAAATTGTTACTGAGGGATAAAGGAATCATGTAACTACAACCTTAGTTTGTATATATAGTCATCTATAATTCTGGTTAAGGAAGTTATGCAAAATTATCAAATCGCCTACTTGTAACATCTATATCTAGCTTTATTTACGTCACAGTGTTAAAATTGGGGTAGTATACATCCAGTGGGGACTGTCAGAAACAGAAAAATTGACAACATATTTGATTAGCATTAATAGGGACACTTGTATGCAAACTTTAAACACAATTTGCAGAAACCGTTTTAGGACTCCCGGACATTTTTTTCTGAACAAAAACTTGAATATTAAAAGGACTATTCAGAAATAAGGAAACCCAATTATAATAAGAAAATAACCTATAATTTCTTCCCTATGGAAGATGTTTATTTTATTTTACTATTACCACCGTATATGTTTCTCCTTGATTATTTGTGTCATAGTTAACACAAACAGAAAACTTTGAGCAGAGCCTGCATGACATCTTTATTACATGATATAATGAAATGAAACTGCCAGTATTCATAATGTGACCTCCTACGGTGTAAACAGTTTAAAACATTCCAGTTTAAGGCATTACAAGGTCAAATGAAAGTTACTTTAATTTAGCATCAAAATGTCGGACTCAAATTGATATTTGTACTTATTAACCATGTTCATTTTCAAATATTCTCATTAGTGTATTTGCAATATTTACACAATAAAGATTGTAATTTAGTTTAGACATATTTGTTACAATAGTTTACATGTTTTACATTTTATATGTTTATAATTAGATTACATAAAATTAAAAGTGATTAGAATTGTAATTTGTAATTATATTTACAAATTATTTTTTGTTACACATTTCTAACTGAAAAGAAACTAAAAAAAACAAACAAACAAACAAACCCAATTCAAATCATTTAGACTAGACTCAAAATGCGATGCTTCCGGACTCAATGTGATGTCGTAATTGATAACGAAAATTAGTGCTTTTTTAAGCCAATCACCGACGAGGATTTTTTCGAATTTTCAGGTTTCAAATCTTAATAGAACAGATTTGTGTGTGTGTGTGTTTTTAAGTTTATTTTAGCTCGGCGCCGGAAATTCCATATGTCCGAGATCTCAGCGTCCATGCTGGTCCACTCTAGTAGTCTCATCGGGGACGTCTTTTTCATGCCGATCTTCCTAAGTCCTGTTCTTCGTTCGGTGGAGGAAAGACAATACCGGAAAAGCATCAAGGTTCCGTGACGGCTGCAAACAGGCGGTTGACATAAAACGCTCTTTGTTTAGCGCCACCCTCCAGAGTTAGTTCACGACAGGTCAAACCAATCACCTCTGGTACTTAAGGTGACTTGACCTTGACCTGCCGTGTGCCTTCTCCGCGACGTGCACGCCTCTGGAGGGATTTGGAGTGTGTGTTTTTAGTTTTATTTATACTGGGCGCCGGTTTCCCATATGTCCCAGACTAGTCGGCCTCTATTACGATTGCTGGTAACGTAGAGCCTGCAACGGAGGACTTTTTCGCCTGCAACATCGTCGATGTCGTAGAGCCGCGACGGAGGTCTTTTCAAGCTGTCGATCGTCGTAGACCTTCTTTAGGACCAGATTCTTCGCTCGATGAACAAATGACAATAGGAGGAAAGGCACCTCTTCCGGGAGCAGCAGCTCTCTTTAGGGCCACACCCTTCGTCGTTGGTTAGGTCACACCAGCTAAGTGACCTAACTAGGTCACCCATCTGGTGTGACCTATGCCTTCCGAGCGACGTGCACGCCACGAAGGGAAGTCGGAAGAGGGATTTGGAGAAGAAACAGATTTTATATAAACTGGACGTTTTATATTATTAAACGCAAGTGGGCGGAGCTAAGTTTCGAAGAGCGCTCAAGTGCAATATACGCATGTGCAGAAATCTTGAAGTTTACTCCTCCTACTAATCAATATTTATGCATCATGCTTTTTACGTACACGCATATGTATATCGTCACTACACGTACAACGTGCGGC